CATGGAACCCAGGAAAGGAAGTAGATTTGGAGTGGAAGGTTTGAGTTCCATTATAGACATGTTTGAGTTTGAGATACCTGGATTCACCCGGAGAATGTCAGATAGGCAGTTAGGTAAGGGATTGTGATAGAAGTCCTGAGAATGAGCTAGAACTCTGTGCTTTAATGGGCTGGTGTAGATACATTTTGAACTTGGAAATAACCACACCATCCTGTCCTTTTCCAGATACAGAAATTGATTGGAAGGCCTACATGGCTGAGGTAGAGGGCGTCATCAACGGTACCTACGACTATACTCAGCTGCAGGGTGACACTGGACCTCTTGTGTGAGTGGGGATAGGAGGTTCAGCGAGGATGTGAGGGGCTGACCAGATGCCAGCCTGGATAGCTTGACTCAGACTCAAATTCCTTCTCTTTCAGGTACCCAGCTGGCTTTGTGTACATCTTTATGGGGCTATACTATGCCACTGGCCGGGGCACTGACATCTGCATGGCCCAACACATCTTTGCTGTGCTCTACCTGGCCACCTTGCTGCTTGTCTTCTTGATTTACCACCAGACCTGCAAGGTGAGTCCTTGCTGCCAAGACCAGGGAGCTCCAAACGGGGAGGGCTAGGGAGTGGGGATGGCTCAGGGCTGGTGAGCTAACCGTATTCCCCACTGTGCCCATCTTTCAGGTACCTCCCTTCGTCTTTTTCTTCATGTGCTGTGCATCATACCGTGTCCACTCCATCTTTGTGCTGCGGCTCTTCAATGACCCAGTGGCCATGGCGCTGCTCTTCCTCAGTATCAACCTACTGCTGGCCCAGCGCTGGGGCTGGGGCTGCTGCTGTTTCAGGTCAAACACCCCTCCCTTCTGGCCCCCTCTCTCACTTTATGTATTTCCATCACTTTCTCCCCAATTTTCCTTAACAGAGTAAGTAAGGAGTGGGTCAGTTAGGGCCACAAGGCAAGTCCAGGAGCTATAGAAAGTCTTCAGCCCCAAGCCCCAACACACACACACCCTCTTCCCATCCCATTCCCTCCAGACAGCATGTGTTGTTTGAGTTGGTCATTGCATTCTAAATACTCAGTATGTTTGCTCACTCAATCTGAATGTAGAGACAAAGTATCAGCTTCCTATTCCCAGCCTCCCTCTAGTCTGCCTTATCCTCCAAGCAGTTCTTAGTGTGGGCTCCACCCTGGATCTTGCTGTCAGGGGAGAGGAAGAGTTGCTGTGGTGATGGTGGGGAGTGCATCTTTGGGTGGGGTGCATGGCCCTGGAGCTGATCTCCACCCTTCCTCTCCCCTACCCACCCCAGCCTGGCAGTCTCTGTGAAGATGAACGTGTTACTCTTCGCCCCTGGGTTATTATTCCTTCTACTCACGCAATTTGGTCTCCGTGGGGCCATCCCCAAGCTGGGCATCTGTGCTGTCCTTCAGGTATCCCCTCCTTACCCCTTCCCCTTTCTAATGAAGGGGAGGCCACTCTGTCTGGCCTCCTTTCATCCTTGAGACTTCTCAAAGTCAAGAGTCAGAGTTTTGGAATTGATTCTGGGCTGGGCAGCCACTGTCTCTGGGTTTTGGTTTCTTTAGCTATAAAACAAGGACATTGAACTAGATGGTCTCTGAGAGCCTTTCTGGCTCTGCTCATTTATGACTTGGTGAATCCAAACTTAAAGCGCTGTTATTACCTGCTTCCTTGGCTTGTTTGGCCCAAGGCTCTGGCCTGGGGTGGACTGGCTTTCCCGCTATTCGTAGTGGGAATTAGGGAAACTCTGAGACTTATACCCTGTTCCCACTTCTCCCGGTGATTAGCATGAGGCTAGGGGTGAGCCTGGACATCTCTACTGATATCACATCCATCCTCAGGTGGTGCTGGGACTACCCTTCCTGCTGGAGAACCCTGTTGGCTACGTATCCCGCTCTTTTGACTTTGGCCGCCAGTTTCTATTCCGCTGGACAGTGAACTGGCGCTTCCTCCCTGAGGCCCTCTTCCTGCATCGTGCCTTCCATCTGGCACTTTTGACCGCCCACCTCACCCTGCTGTTGCTTTTTGCCCTCTGTAGGTGGCACAGGTGAGAAAGGGGAGCAGTGCCATGGGCAGAGGTGAGGGAAGCAGTGAAGGGCCTTGGCTTTAGGGCTCCTTAGGGGAGATGTTGAGCTCATGGGGTGAGCTTAGAGCTTGGCCCGTGATGGGGGCTTGATAAATATCTCAATGGTTTCTCCCCAGGACAGGGGAAAGTATCCTGTCACTGCTGAAGGATCCCTCTAAAAGGAAGGTTCCTCCCCAGCCCCTCACGCCCAATCATATCCTTTAAATCATGGGAAGGTAAGTTGCCCTCTGCAGGTACAGATGGGGTCCTAGTCAGCTAGCCCTGGATAGCTGGTGATCTGGGGGAGGGAAAAGGAGGTGTCAGTAATATCTGCAGGGACAATTTATAGAGCTCCTGCTCTTTACCAAACACTATATTAAGTACATTTTACTCTTAATTCTAAATATTATTAGTTACCATGTAAGTGCTCACCCTCTGTCTGGTGCTGTCCTAAGAGATTTATATGCATTGTAACATTTAAAGCTCACAGATCCTGAGATAGGGAGTTATTTTTATTATCCTCATTTTACAAGTGGCAAAGTAAATGCTTTCTATAAGAGGTTAAGTAATATGCCAAAGTCATACAACTAGTAAGTTATGGACTCACTAGGCCTTATGCCTGTAGGTATTACTGTCTCCACGTAATTGAGGAACAGGTCAAGAGAAGTTAAGAAAGTTGCCCAAAGGTATACATCTAGGAACAGCAGAGCTGCGGGGCTATCTGACCCCAAAAAACTCTTGCCGCTCTGCTTCGAATCCTCCCTACCCGTTCTGTACCTGCCCTTGGCCTTGACCACCGCCTACAGATTGTTTTTACCCTCTTCACCTCCAACTTCATTGGCATCTGCTTCAGCCGCTCCCTTCACTACCAGTTCTACGTCTGGTATTTCCACACACTGCCCTACCTCTTGTGGGCCACGCCTGCACGCTGGCTCACACACCTGCTCAGGTACTGGCTGGGACAACCTGGGGGAGTGGGAAGGGCCAGGGAGCTCCTCATCCCAAGACTGTGACCAAGGAGGGGCAGAGGGTGAGCTGAAGGGCTGCAGGCCTAGAAACTGGACAAGACCTGGAGGTTATTTCTCATCTCCAGGTTGCTGGTGCTGGGACTCATTGAGCTCTCCTGGAACACGTACCCATCCACGTCCTGCAGCTCTGCTGCCCTGCACGTGTGCCATGCTGTCATCCTGCTGCAGCTCTGGCTGGGCCCCCAGCCTTTCCCCAAGACCACCCAGCACAGCAAGAAAGCCCACTGAGATCCACCTTTTCCCCTCCGGTCCATTCTCAGGACCCTGGACGGGGATGGACTCTGCCCTTCCCAATAAACCTTACAAAGTCCACTTCTGTACAGACCAAGCTGTGAGGGGCAGGCACGCTGCAGATAAAGAACTCATACAGTCCTAAGAGGCACTTTATTGCATAGGATTGTGGGACTGTGGCTCTCTCCCCTTCCACTGCACTGCACAGAGCTCAGAAGGGACATGGGATGGGAGAAGCGGGAGAGAGCACAGGCAGGCACTTTCTGTGGGGGCAAGAGGATTCTGTGAAGGGGATGAGAAGCAGTGGGGGCAAGCTGTCACCAGCCTACCCCTCCCCAGCACCGAGAAGCTGGCCCTGGGTGGCAGTGACTTGAGTCTGGTGGGGGTGCTAACCCAAGCAACAGGCGACCCTCACATGTTTGCTGGGCTGTAGCACAGCAGGTGCAGCTGCAGGTTCTGGTCCCAGTGGCGTAGTAGCAGGAAGAGACCCCGGGCTGCAGCCTTGAGGTTGGCCAGGTCAAGGCCGTCAGGCAGGTGCTGTGCCCGCAGCCAACAGTCGGCCTTAGCTGCCGCCAGTTCCCATTCGCCAAAGGCAGCGGCACAGCGGTGCTCCAGCCAGGCAAGCGCCACAGCTGTGGCCCAAGTCCGGCCACGCAGGTCCACACCACCAGGCCCTTCGGCCCCTTCCGAGGCCTCGGTGTCTGAGCCCCGCCCACTGTCTACCTGGCCTGGACCCTCGGAGCCCGAGCTGGGGGATGGGCTACAGGAGGCCGTGGCACTGTCGCCTTGGCCGACACCGTGTCCTAGAAGTGCCCAGGGAGAGGAGGCCGAAGTGGGGCTCAAGCTGGCGCGATGCGCTGCAAAGGGAGAGGCGCGGCACAGGCGCTCCCATGAAATGCGCACCGCGGCGCAGAAGGGCGCGTCCAAGCGAAAGGACCCAGGCGCCTCCTGCAGCCGAACCTGAGGAGAGAGGAGGTGGGGGGAGAAACGAGCTGAGACAGTGCCCTGGCCCTGGCCACGCCACCCTCCACCTCCCGAGTCCTCACCAAGGGCAAGTAGTCGTGGGGGCTGCCTTCACTGTTGCTGTCATTGGCGTGGCTGCTGTTGGGGCTGCAGAGCCTATGGCTGCTTGGGCCTCTGGCCTTGCGACGCCCCAGGCTAAGCTGAGAGGGAGGCTGGGGGGACAGGTGATGAGGACTTTCGGGGGCCACTGCAGAGTCTCCCAAAGCAGACTTGGAGTTGCCATTTTGGTCCAGGTCCCAGCCGCCTGCCAGAGAGCCTCCCTGAAGTTCTGCACTGGAACCATTCAGTGCCAATGGTGGTCCCTAACCCCAGTTGCTCCCTACCATTTCCCCCAATTTGTGTTACCTTTCGAGTGGACAACTGTGGGCAGAGGAGCTGCATCTAGATGGCCCTGAGAGGCAGGAGAGGTGCCTGGGGGCTCGGCTGGCTCTGCAGGGACACACAAGACAGGGGTAAGGTTTGTCTGGGGGGTGGCCAGTGAGGTGAGAACTGGCACCCAGGAGGGACCATACCTGAGCTCCGCACCTGCAGGGCTGTGGGCAGGACTTCCCTGGTGGTGGCATCCACAGCTACAGGGCAGGTGAAGCAGGAGGGAGCAGAGCTGACCTTGCTTGTCTGAAGGGCTCGGAGCCAGGACCTCCGGGCATGGCCTATGAAACCAAAGAGCAGCATGCTGAACAGGAGGGGGTGCACTCCCACCACTCACTCTCTACTAAGGGCTTCACAGGAAAAAACCTTAATGCTCCCAAAGCTTCTCCCTCTCTGCACTTTTGAACAGAGTGGAGTTCCTTCTCAGGGCCAGCTCAGAGTCCCCAGCTTTGATGATAAGTGGTTAGGCTGCATGCTCAACTCCCTCGTAGCAGGGCTAGGTCCCCTGGCTACCCACAAATTCAACAAATTCAACACAACCCAGAGGAAGCATTGACTGGTACCTTTTCCATCCATTCATTTCAGCACTATCCAATAGACCTCTATCTGCAATGATGGAAATGTTCTCTATCTGCATAATCCAATATGGTAGCCACGTCACATGTGACTATTAAGTCACTTGAAGTGTGGTGAGTGCAACTGAAGAACTAACATTTTAACTTTAATGTTTTAAAAGAATATTTTATTTTGCTTTTTTTCCTCTCGTTAACAAAGGCAGTGGGGATTGAACCCAGGACCTTGTGCATGTGGAGCATGCACTCTACCACTGATAAAACCTCAACCCCAAAACTTTACCTAATTTTAACAGTCTTCCTAAGTGACAGATTTTGTTTTGTGGGCCCTGTGAATCACTACAAGATGACATTCGCTCTCTGTTTGCTGCTAGGAAGCTTGCCAATTTTGGGGTCCCATGCCTGCAAGGGCACATAACCTCATGGTGTGCATCTTTAATATAACCTCATTCTCTGCTTCCTCTCATTTTTCCTTTTCTTGTCCCATTGTCTTGCTTAATTTTTTTTTCCTTGTCAGTGTGGGTGAGCCACCTCAAATTATTTATGAGCAAGGTGAGATATAGGGAGTGATCACACAGACCCATGCCTCTGCCACTCTCTGCCCCATACAGGCTTCCTGATCCCTGACTGGGCCCACCAGCAACTCACCCTGGTCAGTCATGGTCTCGCCCCCTCCTCGGAGAGCCAGCTGCTCATTGTCCCGGACCACAGAAGCTGCTGTCAGTCGATGGAGTGCTTGGTCCCACGCACTTTCTCTTTCAGGGGGCGATGGAAGCTGTGAGCCACCATCCACAGGCCCCCATAATGTCTCCAGCCCAACACCCACCTCCCAGCACATAGGCTGCTTCCCACACAGGCCCCGGATCACCACGTGGCAGCGTGGAGCCTGGGGAGGCAGTGGTACTGGGGGAGGGGCCAACTCCCCATTGGGAGGAACAGCTGTGAACAAGAACGGTGGTTCCATCAACATGTCCCAGTCCATGGGAGCCGGGGAGAGCAGGTTTCCTGGAGAGAGACAATGATAGGACCAGGGGCAGTGTGGTGCCCTGGTTACCACCTCCCCAAAGCCTCCTTGGTGTCAGAACCCAGCTAGCTCCCCATCCAACCTTTACCTGAGTCATCCAGGCCCTGTCCAAGCTGCTGCCCTGGCTCAGGGCCTGGCCCATCTGGTGCTACACCTAGAGATGGGTGTCGGGGATGGCCAGGGACTGGGTTGACCCGGCCTGGGGGTGATGAGAGGCTTCGACCAGCCAGAGCTGCTCTGTGTCGACGGCCCAGCACCTCAGCACTCAAGGCCCCAGTCTGCACATAAGAAGTGGGGTTCACTGGTCCAGGAATGCAGAGCTCCTGGCCATCAGACATACAGACACAAATGGTCACATTGCCCCTTTGAAGCTCCAAATGGCTGTTCATCACCGTTACGTTTCTCATGGCCCCTGGCCCCCTTCCCAGTGCCGTGTCACTCCATGCCCTATTTCTCACTTGAGGTTGTTGCTTGTCCTATTTTCATTCATGTCTTCTCCCTTTTTACCTGGCTAACTTCTTATTCTTCAAGAGGTGGCTCTTTCCTTCCTGACTCCCTCAGACAGGGTTAGTCACCTTGATTCTGAATCCTAGTAATGCCATGTCCCGGGCTCATCAGTATGTTGTACGGTATCATATAGATTTATCCATCTAGTTCTTCAGCTAGACTTACTAGTAACCACTGCACAATGTATGGCATACAGCAGATGGTCAATAAACATTTGCTGGATACATGGGAGATGGATGTGGATTGAATCTCACCTTGACTGGAGCCAGTGGGGGTGGAGGCAAGGGGCAGGAATGGGAGCCTGCAGGTTCTCCCCAGGCCAGGCTGCGGCAGCCCTGCTGAGAAGGGGGATCCAGGGGACCACTGCCTTCTGGGGAGCCAGGGCCCTGGGAGACAGGGGACTCGCTGCTGCCTGTGGAGTCTGGGCCTGGCTCTGGGCTGGCAGAGCAGTGGGTGAGCACATACTGCTCCCGGATGTATGAGGACTGGAAGATGCGGCGCCATATGGCTGTTTCAGAGGAGGGGTTAGGTCCAGGGTCCGTAACTGGGTCTGTCAGAGCATCAGTACCTATTGCGAGGCAGGAGAATAGATCCTGGCTCTTGCCTCTCTCCCAGTGCCCACTCCTCCCCAACGCACATACACCCGGGCACTCACTCTGCTCTGAGTCCCCAGCAGCCCATGGGCTGGACAGCTCTGCTGACACAGTGCCTGTTCCCAGTGGCTCTGAGGTGCCAGTGGGCTCAGTTCCAGGGCTGGTGGCAGATGGTGCTTCCTCTGGGGATGGGAACACGGATCCGCCCAAGCTCTGCCAGCCAGGCTCTTGGCCCTGGAGAGGGATAGACATTGGGGGAAAAAAACTGACTGTAGTTACATACTACCTATTCCAAACAGGATTTACGATGGCTCACTGCAAGAGGCAATAAAGTTAATAAACCAAAAATGAAAGCCCAATACTGAAGGAGAAGGATGCATACGTGCTGACCATAGGGTTACTAGAGCTGCTGTGGCTGAGCTACAGGTTTTGGTGAAAACCTTGCAGCAAATGCTGGCACTTTTCTGTATGGCTGTTGCTTTAGTGCCCAAGGGTAGCACATGACAGCTCAGTGGAAGACCTTATGATGGGGGCAGTCTGCAGTCACCTGGGGTTAGGGCACTGTGGTCTCTGGGGAGGCCTTGTGGGTAGTAGTAGGAGAGTCTGGCAGAGAGAGGCACAGGGAATAGGAAATGGGTTTTGAAGAGATACAGGGGCTTCAGCCATCCCAGCCGTGGCCTACCCCAGGGGGGCGGGACCGGAAGCCATCCACCCTGAAGAGTGAGCAGTAACCGAGCAGCTGGTCCCCAGGGTAGAGTGCTGGGATCTCCCGAGGCGTCAGCAGTGCCTCCACCGTATCAGGAACAAACCAGTCTACAGAGACGTCGCTCAATGCGGGCTCCAGTGCCTTCCGCAGAGCCTGCACCAGCTGTGGGGTGTGACCAGAGGGAGGTCATGGGAGAGAAGGAGACGTCACACAGTTAACAGAGCCATCTGCTGAACCTCTGGCTGAAGGGAGAAGGTGAGGCGGGGGTCTGGGGTGTGAACAAGCGAGGGGACTGAGCACTCAGTCCTCAGGGCTTGGTGCATCTCCTGGCCTAAGCCATGCCGTGTAGACGAGGCAAGGCTTTTCAAGGACATGGCTCAGTACCGAGACAAAACTGAGAACAAGATTTTTGAAGGAGTCAGAGGCCGTGGCCCCCACACCCTTGGCCTCCTGCAGCACCCCACAGCAGCACAGTGGGTTCTCCCCTGATTGGCCTCTCTGAGAAGAGGCGGGATTAGAGTGGAGGAGGAGCCCTGGTCAGGGTGCCAGGAGACCCCACAAACTGACCAGGTTCTGTTTCAGACTGAGTGCAACTTAGGAGGAGGACTTGAGTAATAGGGCACAACAGGACCCAGGTTCAAGCTCACCTTGGGCTGAAGCCTTTCCCCAGGCCTCAGGAAGTAGGCCTGGCCCCGGCTAAGAGCAGACAGGCCCTGGAGCAGCTGGCGGCAGGCAGGCCCCAGCCCAAAGGAGAAGCACCTGACAAGAGAAGGGGAGCAGCTGTGACCACCAGGAGCCTCTTTGGGGAACAATCTCAGGAGCCTGGCTGTGCCCACCCCCTCCTTACCTGGCTGCCCCCCTGTGCCACCTCACGAGCTCCAGGGTTTGGTGGGTAACGGTGGCCAGGGGTGAAGCAGCGGTAAGCAGGAAGAGCTGCCGAGGGTGGGCCCTGTGCTGGGGCTGCCCCAGGGCCCAGTCCAGCACAGCCAGCACATCTGGAGGGCCGACCACAGCCTGCAGGGCCTCAATGCTCTCACAGATGAGCTGTATGGCATCCTGGAGGAAGAAAGCACAGGCTGGGCCACACTGAGCTGAAACATCTCTACTAGGCCCCCAGATCCCTGGGCCACACTCACATCACTGCAAGGCCGGCTCTCTGGGAAGAGGGGCTGCACTGACGTGCCAAACATGGCCAGGTTGATGAGTGTCTGGGGCGGGAGCGACTTCACAGCCAAAATGATGGCATCCTGGGGAGGGCCAGGAAGGGCAGGGTGAGGCAGGCCCCACTGGCACCAGGAGAGAACACGGGACCCAGATTGCCTGCCTTCTCCAGGCTGTGTGTAAATTGAGGGGCCAGATGAGGTCATCTGGGAGGAAGCCCCGTGTGTGTTAGTCTGTGTGTGAAAAATCTCTATGAGTGAGACCCTAGGGTGTGAGGGAGACTCCGAGTTTCTGTGAGAGATGTTTGTGTATGTGACCCTGGAGGTGCTTGTGAATCCCTGGGTTTGGGATTTGGGGTGACTGAATGTACCTCTATGTATGAAAGAGGCTCTTGGAATCTGGGAGAAATGCATGGATGTGTGAGTATGAGAAAGAGAAAGAAGGTGTGTGTCTGTCTTCGAAGGCTGCCTCCAGCCCACCACAGATCCACTGCCCCACCCAGCCCCAGGCCTGCCCATGCCGCGCCCCCACAGGCCTTGTGTGCCACGCTGCTGCCATCCACCAGGAAGAGGAGCTCCCGTGTGGCTGTGCCCAGGTGTCCAGGCTTGGAGCTCAGGTCAGGGCAGAAGCTCAGCACCAGCACGGGGTTCAGCAGGATGTCCTTGTGGAAGCGTCGCTGCAGGAACCACACCTGAGCACGGGACCCCGAGTCATCCTGGGCTGGGCTTAGTGCAACTGCGACCTGGGCTGGCAGCAGGACCTAGCCCCGGGGATTTTCTCAGCCCAGTCCCCCCAGAGGGGCACCCTTTTGTATTCATCTGAATAAAGGCAAGGGCAGAGGTAAGTGGCTGTCCTCTGCCTTTGTCAGTCCTAGCCCCCATCCTCTGAGACACATCCCAGGGAGACTTGCAAGGGACCTCCTGTGACAATACCCATCAGCCCTCTGAGATTGTGGTGGCAGCTACTGAGAGGGCCTGCTGAGAGCAGAGACCCCCTATCCATCCCAGCATAAGACAGTTCACCTGCTTCTCCTGCACTAACGCAGCCAGCAGTGAGGCCAGGGGCCAGGCCAGGACCCCAGGCAGCCATACCTGCCGGTCCCCATCACTGTCCCTTCGCTGCAGCCTCTGGAAATCCCGGCGGGCCCTCACCTGGGCCTCGTATTCTGCTGAGCTCAGGCTGCCGGCCTCCAGCATCAGGTGTGGCTGGTGGGGCTCTGGAAAGGAGGGGACCCAGTTCTGTCAGGGAAGCCCTTGTCTCTAGACCCCAACTGCTCAGTCCCATTATCCTGAGAGAACCTTGCAGGTCCAGCCTCCCTGTACCACTGGGCTCACCCTCACAAATGACTCAGTCCCCCTGACTTGGGGCCCAGAAATCTATACTTGAAAAATGGTACCCAGCTGGTCTTGAAGCAGGTCAGAGCTGGCCCACTGTATGCCCTAGTCTCTCACCACTGGGGTGCAGCAGGATCTCCAAGGCCCGGTCACAGTGGTGGCCCTCTGCCAGTGTGACACAGATGGTGGCTGCAGAGCTGGCATGAGGGGGTGCATCTGCCCGCAGAGCATGAGAGGGGCTCTCCAGGCCTGAGGGACATAGAGGTAAGGAGAGGTGATGATCACGCCACCCCAAGCCAGTACTAAGAGCACAAATATCACCTTCTCAGACAACAGTTGTGGGGGCCAGGACTGTGACTGATTCAGCCCAGCTCTGAGTCCAATGAATAGGGTGGACAAGGAGGGATTTGCCTGCCTTCATAGACTGGGAGATGTATTCCTGGCTGGTCAAAGAGTTATATAACAACCAGTTGCTGATTTCACATCGTCCTCCACCTCTTGCAGAAGGAAACATAACTTTATCACTTAGACCGGTCTCATTGTAAGCATTTCTCTTCTCATTGGTGAGTGGAGTGGAATATAAATAAATTACACTGACAATCCTAGGAGTGTGTGTATTGTGTAGAAATGGCCAGGGGATGATCCCACTGTGAGATTGGAAGTTCCTAAGGCTTAGGTCCCTGTCTTCCTTTTGTCCCATGTTCCTCTCATCCCTGAGCCTTGAGTTATTTCCCAGTCAGCTATGCTGGGAGGGGCACCCACCTGCCAGCAGGCATGGCCCAGTCACCAGCATCTCAAAGGAGAAGGTGTATGGGGCAGGGCAGCGGGCAGGGCCTGAGAACACGTCCCGAGGGGCAGCTGGCTCCTCCCAGGCTGGCCCTTCCCCCTCGGGGCTGCCCACTCCGAAGCAGCTGGTGGGGCTGGAAAGGAACACCAGGAGGGTCACTGGGCCACCTCCCAGGCCCCTAGACCCTGTGGCTGATTGGCCTCAGCCCTTCCCTACCCTGCCCATCCCCCGGGGCACTCTGCCAAAGCCCCCTCACCCGCACTAGACCCAGAGTAGCCGAGGGAGGGACGAAGAGAATCACCATAGGCCCAACCTGTCGTCACAGAGCCCCGGAGGCCTGGGGGGCCCCGGCGGGCCTGGAGGGGCCAGAGGGGTGAGCACAGAGGGTAGAGCCACGTGCAGCACCCCATCAGGCCTGGAGGGCAGCTCCCGGCTGCTGTGCAGGGTCACTGTCATGGTGCCAGCCGCGGCGATGAGGCCTGTGGGCAGCACCAGCGTGGACCGGGCCTGGGCCAGATCCAAGACAAGATGACCTATGATGAATGAGGAAGGGGGTCAGAGGGGGCTGGAAGCAGGGGAGATGGGGAAAGATAGGGGTGGGAGCAGGTACTGAGTCAGGGAAGCTTGGGCAAGGGGGACTCTGTGAGGTT